CAACACTTTGAATTGTGCTCGGAAACGTACTGGGAGCCAGTGTAGGTCTTTCAAGACCGGTGTTATGTGGTCTCGGCGGCCGCCCCCAGTCAATGAGCTTTGTGGCCGAGTGGAGATTTGAACGCTGGTCTCCCAGCACTCTAACCACTGCACCGTGTTGCTACCCTGAACCAGTTTAAACAGCCCCACCTGGAGCCACCGTATGACATCACGCACAGACCCGGCTGACTTCAACCACAGATGTTCGGAGCTTGGAGTACAGGGCTGATTCATCCGTCAAGGAATGCCGACCGCCTTCCTGCAGGCATGTGGCTACCAGCCCTTCTTGACACCTTGAGAGTCTGAAGGAGTTCTGCTCATTCCACTGGGGCACGACTGCGCTAGGCAGGAGCGGGCTAGGATATAGAATCATAGAATCATAGAGTTGGAAGAGACCACAAGGGCCATCGAGTCCAACCCCCTGCCAAGCAGGAAACACCATCAGAGCACTCCTGACATATGGTTGTCAAGCCTCTGCTTAAAGACCTCCAAAGAAGGAGACTCCACCACACTCCTTGGCAGCAAATTCCACTGTCGAACAGCTCTTACTGTCAGGAAGTTCTTCCTAATGTTTAGGTGGAATCTTCTTTCTTGTAGTTTGGATCCATTGCTCTGTGTCCGCTTCTCTGGAGCAGCAGAAAACAACCTTTCTCCCTCCTCTATGTGACATCCTTTTATATATTTGAACATGGCTATCATATCACCCCTTAACCGCCTCTTCTCCAGGCTAAACATGCCCAGCTCTCTTAGCCGTTCCTCATAAGGCATCGTTTCCAGGCCTTTGACCATTTTGGTTGCCCTCCTCTGGACACGTTCCAGTTTCTCAGTGTCCTTCTTGAACTGTGGTGCCCAGAACTGGACACAGTACTCCAGGTGAGGTCTGACCAGAGCAGAATACAGTGGCACTATTACTTCCCTTGATCTAGATGCTATACTCCTATTGATGCAGCCCAGAATTGCATTGGCTTTTCCCAAATCAACCGTGCATTTTTCCGAAACACAATCTCATGGTTTGTGCATTCTTTTTCACCCCGGTCATGTCCTCGTCTTCGTTCAAGCGTTACTCTAGGAAGGAAGGAGCCAGGACTGAATTTTGCAGAATCAGTGGTCTCTGAACCTGTGCCAGTCACTTCCACGGAAAGGCAACAACGTCTTGTCTTGTTTACCCTGAGTTTTTGTTTTCCATTTTTTCCCGGGAATGGCGTCACAAGGTTAGTCCAAACAGACACACAAGCAGTTGACATCACTGCTTCAACTCTAAATTCATCAGGGAGCAATCCCAAGAGACCACACAGTTATTTTGGACTTGTGCAACGCTGCTGTGTGTTTGTGACCTTTATGGATTTCATATTTCAGGAACTCTGCCTGTAGAAAGTTCTAATAACTGCTAGCATTTAAAGAGCGCATTTCCATTGCTGAAAGCAGTTTGCCACAACCCTCTAAGGCAGGACAGATTTATTTATCCTGTTTATTATTGTAAATAATTTTATGTCACACGTCATTTTATTTAGAATTCCAGGGCAGTGCTCAATCAGTTGGATTAATTATAAAAGACAACATATTATCCCCATTAATGGCTATGCAGCCCCTAAACAGCTTGCTCCAGAGGTAAACAAAGCGAAGTGGGCCTGATCCGAAATGGTCCAAAGTGAAGCAGCTGGTCCCCAACACTTTGGACCCACTTAAAAGGCGTTCCTCCCCACCTAAAGTGCACAATTTGATAGATTAAATTCTCCTGTGGCAAACTCTCCCTAAATGGCAAATTCCTGAAGGAGGAAGGTGGTTTCATTTTGTGACTGACAGCTGTAGCTTCCAACCAGGGAATGACTTTAGCAGGGTTCCTCCCACCCCTGTTCTAGGCAATGTGATACCCTGCATACGATGTTGGGACAACAAGCCCTATCATCCCAGACTAATTGCCACGCTAGCTGGGGCTCATGGGAGTTGTAGTCCAACTGCGCCCAGAGGGCGGCACACCATTTCTCTCTGCTCTTGGCCATTACTAGCTGCAGCTGGAGCCCGCTGTTGCATGAACCAGACTCATTGCATCAAAAGCTGCAAAGGGAGGCAAGTGGCGGTGATGAGCCAGCACATTAGCATACAGTTATGAGTTTGTGGGTGCCCAACTCCCTTAAATTCCTGGATCGAGCTAGTGTTAGAATATAATTACGGCTTGTGTTAGAACAGTGCTGGACCCAATGTGTATTAAGGTGTGTGCGTTGGATGCTTTTGATCTGCTGGAATTGGCGTGTGTTAAGAGGTAATTAAGCCAGGCAAACTTCCTAAAGTATCAGACCATGATAATCCCAGGCAACCAACATGAGCTAAGAGTTAATTGCATCAAATTTCCTTTGAGGCAATAGCCTGCGGGTAATGAGCCGTTAGCACAACACAGGATCGGAGGAGCCATGTGAGATGCAAATGAAAGGGTGAATGAATAGGCCCCGCCACTGCAGATAAAAAGAGCTAAGCTCTAAGTACAGGGTGTTATGTGACCTAGGAAGTCGAGATACAGAGCAAGGATCTATGGGAGAAGCTGGCACACGAAAGATGTGTGGCTCTGTTGTCCGTGAAGTTAACTCTTTAGTCAAGGAAACTACAAGGTGTGACTGGAAAGTTCAGTGAATGGTCACAGAAATTGGACAGCGAGAAATATTTGAACGTACATACCTTAAAAGGTAAAGGGACCCCTGACCATTAGGTCCAGTCGTGGCCAACTCTGGGGTTGTGGCGCTCATTTCGCTTTACTGGCCAAGGGAGCCGGCGTACAGCTTACGCGTCATGTGGCCAGCATGACTAAGCCGCTTCTGGCGAAACCAGAGCAGTGCACGGAACGCCGTTTACCTTCCCGCCTGAGCGGTACCTATTTATCTACTTGCACTTTGACGCGCTTTTGAACTGCCAGGTTGGCAGGAGCAGGGACCGAGGAACGGGAGCTCACCCCGTCGCGGGGATTCGAACCTCCAACCTTCTGATCGGCAAGTCCTAGGCTCTGTGGCTTAACCCACAGCACCACCCGTGTCCCTGTACATACCTTACAGGCCTTCAAAGTAGGCCCCCTCTGATACAATGCACCTTTGACAATGTTCATAGAACTGTTGGAAACTTCTGGAGAAGTCCTCTTTTATTACTGCTTTCAGTTCCCTCATCAGAGCAGCTTGGACACGTGAAACATTGGAAAATCTGCGCCCTTTCAGTGCAGTTTTTAGTTTTGGACAAAGAAAGAAATCCGGTGGGGCCAGATCGGGAGAATAAGGAGGGTGGGACAACTCAGTAACCTCAGTAACGATTTCACGCGGAATATGCCATTCTTCTGACATCATTCGCATCATCCCGCATCAATAACTCACGAACTCTCTTGACGTTTGGAGCTGTTCTGCTCGTTGACGGTCTGGCGGACTGAGGGTCATCTTCGATGGTTTGCCGCCCTTCATGGACATGCTTCAACCACTCGTACACTGTCTTTTGAGTTACAGCTTCATCTCCGTACACAATTGTGAGCATTTCGTGCGTTTCCAGTGCCGATTGTTATGTTCGAATATATTTCGCTGTCTGATTTCTGTGACCGTTCACCGAACTTTCCGGTCACACCTTGTAGATACAACTCAGCAATACTTCCCAGCAGGTCTTGCCTCTATGGAGCAGTTGCTAGGACTTTAAGGTTGCTGCCTTCCACCCTTTCAAGACTCCTCCTCTCCTGGATGTTTCCCAAGCAGTCTCAAACTGTGCCTGAGCACCTCTGAGCTCTGTTCTGCCCTCATTATTCTGTGCATTCTTGGAGACCAGTGGGGAAGGGAGTTTGTTGCAGCAGGGGAGGGAGAACCCCCCAGATTCTTCAACAGTCTATTGATCCCCCTCCTCTGCTTCAGCCTTGGAGTCTGAACTGCTCCCTGTCACAGGTTCCTCCTGCTCACTAAGCCCTGTTGTCCCTTCAACATCTGGCATCTCCTCCCAATCTTCTCCCTCTGACCTCTTCTCATTGTCCCACAACAACCCCCTGGCTCTGAGCCTTCCTCCTCTGGGATCTCCGGGGTGTGTGTATGTGTGTTCCCCAGCTAGCGTTTCTAACCACTACTCTTCATCCAGCCAATCCTGGAGGAGCTGGAACTTCTTGGGAAGTTGATGTTTCATTATAGGCTCAGGCTATATTTATGTGTAAATAAGCCATATATTATAAAGACACCACAGTCTCTGATGTGTCTGTTTCCAAAAGGAAACAGGAACGGCCCCGGCCCAGTATACCTGAACGAGCGTCTCCACCCCCATTGTTCAGCCCGGACACTGAGGTCCAGCTTTGAGGGCTTTCTGGCGGTTCCCTCACTGCAAGAAGTGAGGTTACAGCAGGAATAGGCAAACTCGGCCCTCCGGATGTTTTGAGACTACAGTTCCCATCATCCCTGATCACTGGTCCTGTTAGCTAGGAATGATTGGAGTTGTAGTCCCAAAAGATCTGGAGGGCTGAGGTTGCCTATGCCTGAGTTACAGGGAACCAGGCAGAGGGCCTTCTCGGTAGTGGCGCCCGCCCTGTGGAAGGCCCTTTCGTCAGATGTCAAGTAGATAAACAACTATCTGAATTTTAGAAGACATCTGAAGGCAGCCCTGTTTAGGGAAGCTTTTAATGTCCGATGTTTTATTGCTTTTTATCATCATCATCATCATCATCATCATCATCATTAATTCTGTTGGGAGCCACCCAGAGTGGCTGGGGAAACCTAGTCAGATGGGTGGGGTATGAATATTATTATTATTATTACTATTATTATTACTACTCCTGGTACCTCACACCACTTGGAGAGGGGTGGCGTGTAACAATACTGTAAGCACACCTGGCAGAGATGTTGGATTATGCAGTAGGAGTTGGAGGAAGTAACAGAATTCCCATAGCTTTACCTACCAATGGTCTTCCCCCCATCCCTCGGTGTTGCCTTCACCTCTGTCCCCCAAAACACACATATGCTGCCTTTGAAAGTAGAAAAAATATTTTATTGACAAATTAGGAAAAGACCCTTCCCCATCCTGTTTTCTTGCCACGGGATGAGCAGAGGGTGCTACTAGTACTTTTCAAGTATTGGTCCCACAGAAGCAGAGAAGGAACATTTGGCAAGACGATTGCAAGGGGAGGAGAGGGTTGGGAAGAGAAGGATCTGAGATCTCACTGCTGGGTGTTTTCGTGGTTTCTTTTTTTTAAGAGGTGTCGGTGGTGGAACCCGGGAATGCAAGGGTTAATACCAACAAGAGCGAAGGGGAAGCTGCCTTATACCAAGCCAGGCCATTGGTCCATTTAGCTGAGTATCGCCTCCACAGATTGGCAGCCGTTTCAGTCTTTCTCAGCCCTGCCCAGAAATATCAGGGATTGAACCCTGATATTTTTCAAGTGGTGCATTTCACAGGAGGAGGTTTTCGAGACAAAGTTGCGTGTGACTCCCTCTTTCTTCCCAGTTGGCAATCTCTTTTGTAAGCTGGGCAGGAAGGACGGTCGGTCCTCACAGGCGAGATCTGATAGCCAGGAGGACCACTAAGCAAGCCAGCAAGCCACACCTCATCCTTCCCTCCCTTAATCATCTCACTGCCCTGACTAATCATCTCCACCTCCACAACTTCCTCTAAAGACAATAACCCGCCTGGGAATTTCTGGTATTTCAGTCCCTTAAAATGCACACGGTATTCCTCTTTTTCGGGCTCAAACTTTCAGAAAATCCCCTTGTTCGCCCCCTCCCAACTTCCTTGCGTCACCTTCTTCCCTCTCCATCACCAACACGTTAACACTGCACTTCCTGAAATTCGTTTGCCAAGAAACCTGTCAATTGGGGCTGCGCATCCCGTTTTGCCGCCTGAGGTGAAATGGGAAGGTAGCCCCACTTCCCGAGCCGTCGTGCTGCCTCACTGCTGCTAGTTGGGCGCTGGCGAAATCGGCAAAATCTCACACACTCTCCCTGGAAACCGCTGCTGCAGCTTCTTCCCCACCTACGGTGAAGGGGGCAGGATCAGGGGTGAATTTTGGCCTTTCCAATTTCCAGCGGTGCCCTGTAAGAAGCCAAAATTCGGTGCCCGCCTGCCTCTCACTCTCTGTTGTGCTCAATTCATTTTGTCATGGTTGCGGCGCCCCTAGACTTCCAGCCCAGTGCAGAGGAACCAGTCACAGTGCCCTAAATCCCCCTCTGGCAAGACAGGGTGCTACCTTTAAATATTTGGCTGCCTCAGGCCTTGCTGGCAGTGTTACTGAGCAGAGTAAGGGCAGTGTGTGGGGAGAGTAGACCGAGAGAGATACAGTCATACCTCGGGTTAAAGTGGCTTCAGGTTGAGCGTTTTGGGTTGCGCTCCGTGTCGACCCGGAAGTAACAGAACGTGTTACTTCCGGGTTTCGTCCGCTCACGCATGCGCAGATGATCAAAATGACGTCATGCGCATGTGCAGAAGCGGTGAATCGCGACCCGCGCATGCGTAGAGGTGGGTTGCGTTCTCTTCAGGATGCGAATGGGGCTCCGGAACAGATCCCATTCTTATCCAGAGGTACCACTGTATCTTTAACTTGTGCCTCCCAGCTCTTACTGTTTTACATTGAAAGTACTGTCAAATTTGGACTACAGTGCTACCTTTTAATGGGGTGTGCAGTTTCCACCTCCTTCCAAACGTGCAGAAACAGCCCTGCTTAGGTAGTAGCCAAAGAAGTGGCAAGAACTGAAAATGGAAGGCTGTTGGGACTGTAGTTAGGGGTCAAGCTGACCGGTCCACCACAGCCCATAGGATCATCTCAGCTTTGTCATAGAACTGTAGAGTTGGACGGGACCACGAGGGTCGCCTTGTCCACCCCCCTTGCAACGCAGGAATCTTTTGCCCAACGTGAAACTCGAATCCACAACCCTGTGATCAGGAGTCTCATCGGTCAGACCTGCAGCCCTCTGGGTCCCGAAGCCGCAAACAAGTGCCATTTTTGCGCCAGGAACCCATAGCAGCAAAAGTCTAGGAGGAATTGGCCCTTTGTTGCCTGGTGACGCACAGCATCGAGTGGGAAGCCCCCTGTGTACAGGATCCCTCGATCTCCTCCTGTCAGCTGCCGCCAGGACCACTGTCTCTGCTCTTTGGCCACTGGCCTTTGAGGTCGGCGGTTGCCAGGGTCTCAGAGTCCAGCAGGGTCTGTGATTGGTCCACCTCCGTGCCCCGCGGGTGAATCCGATTGGCCTGGGGCGCTGCGGGCAGGGATATGACGGAATTCTGCATGCCGGCGGGAAGCAGGCAGAGGTGGTGCGGCGAATAGCTGTGGCTGGACGACGCAAAAGGGTAGAGGGTGGCGTGGAAGGCGGGTTCCACCAGGCTCTCAGCCACTGGCAGGAAGAATTTGGGCATCCCTGGAAATCCCATTGGCTGCTCCGGTGTGGGCGGAGTCGGGCTCCTTTCCAGTTTCACCCCAGGCAAGGTGCCATGTGTCAAAGGCCCATTGGTCGATGCAGTGCTCTCGGGCTTCTGATTGGCCGAGTTGGGGGACTGCACGGCTCTGTGGGGTTTCGGGGTCTGGGCGGGGCTAGGGGTGGTGGGGCAGGAGTCGGGCGAAGCCCTCAGCAAGCCTGTAGGGAGACAGAAGCACAGAGGAGAATAACGCAGTCAACCCAATAGGAGAACTTAATTGGTTAAAAAAGACAACTTAAAATTCAGTGGAATTTAAGCTTTGCCTATTACCAAAGCCTCAACACTTCTCTGAGAAACTAAAGGAAGCATAACATAACTTGCTACTTAGCAAAAACTACTGGGAGAAAATTTTCCTATGGGAAATCATACATTAAAATCCTAATAGCCTCAAAACAAATAAAAATGTGTTGTCATACCTCGGAATTCGAACGGAATCCGTTCTGGAAGTCCGTTTTACTTCCAAAATGTTCAGAAACCAAAGTGCGGCTTCCAATTGGCTGCAGGAAGCTCCTACAGCCAATCAGAAGCCGCGGAGGATGTTCGGGTTCCAAAGAACATTCGCAAACCGGAACACTCACTTCCAGGTTTGCGGCGTTCAGGAGCCAAAACATTTGAGTCATAAGGCGTTTGGCTTCCGAGGTACGGCTGTACTTAACTTGCTATCCTGTCAGTTATTGGTGAGGTGTTTTTTGTGGGGTTTTTAAAGTCCCCATTGGTTAATCAACTAAAGGTTTGGTTGATTAATCTACCAATGGCAGAGTTCAGCCCTACGTGCAGGATACTCCCTGACCTCAATTCTTCTCGCACACCGCTCCCTATCTGGCATGCGTGTTTGAGAGTATCTGTTGCCTCAGATACGAATTCTCACACCCCTTTTAATCCAGGACTGAGGCGGCTGCAGGATGAAAACATGGGCAGCTGTCTCGCACTTGGGGAGAGGTTACTCACCAGTGTGGACGGGTCGGATACCAGGAGAGCTGGCATTGCTGGTTGCTGGGGACGATCCCTCGCGGATGTTTTCAGGCGGCGGCCCAGGGCGGGAAGTTTTTCCTCTCAGGATGTCAATCACCTGATGATGGGAGAGACAGGAGAGATTTAAAAGAAATTCCCCAACCGCTCAGCTCGCTCGCAAGATCTCACCTTGAACACCAGGTGCCCTGATAGGTCCACAAAGCAGCCACCCTCTCCCAGAGTGCCAATTCACCTTTTAGATCTCCCAGGACTATTTCCTAACTTGTCAGTTCCCAATGCGGTGCAACAGCTGAAACTGTGAGCAACGAACTGGAAGGTTGCGGGTTCAAATCTCGCCTCCGTCAAGAGCTCACTAAGAACCCTCAGCTCCCAGCCTCAGGCTTCCCTTCTGAGATACAGGGTTAACAGCACTGACCTACACTACAGGGTCGTTAGATAACGCATGCGCAGTCAACTGAACAATCTAAAAATTGCTTAACAGGTGGCAGGTGTTGCTGCCCATGGACTGGGGTGACCAGTGTTAGAATTCCTGCCCCATGATTGCAGTCATGGGACTGTTGTCTATCACATGACGGTATATGTTTTGACTCCACAGAGTGGGAAGGGACGGAGACAGGATGTTTGTGTTCCTGTGTTCCGTGAAGTGGGACTATTGTCCTTTGTTCTTTTTCTCTTTGCTGTCTGATGCTAGAGAGAGAGGGAGCCATGTTGCAGTGCTCTGTGTGTGTTTATATGCAAATAAAGTAGATTAGCCAAAATGCTGAGTTGCTGAGGTCTGTCACGTGAACTGCGAAGACTCTGTGGATCCCTAAGTGTGCCGATGTCTGTTGGCATTGGTCGCTGTGATGTTCGGGCTAAAGAAAGCTTATGAGGAACCGAATACCAAGCTCCGATGGAGGCATCGTGAAGTTCCTCTGTCTCTCTGTGTATCCTCTCACCCTTTTATTCTTGGCCACCATCAAGGGGGTGTCATTGTGGTAGTTCTTCAAGCTGCCATCCGCCCCGTTGCGCACCAGGAGACGCAGGGTTTCCAGAAGCCCCCGCCCGCAGGCCGCATGGAGCGCTGTGTTGCCCCCGTACGACTGAGCATTGACGTTGGCTCCGTGCTGCAAAGCGGGGGAGAAACATGGACACATTAACAGAATGGCTGGGGCAGATTTGAGGGAATCTAACACTCCCACATGGTTAACAATAAGAGAAAATCCCTGGGCAAGGAAGCCATTGGGGAAAACACTGGAGGACAAGGTCTGTTAGGTTTACTGGCACTGCAGAAATTTATCTGCTGATGCCACAGTCAGATTTGAGAAAATATAAGCGTCTCCACCTCCATCGTTCTGCCTGGATGCTGAGGTCCACCGCTGAGGGCCTTCTGGCAGTTCCCTCATTGTGAGAAGCAAAGCTACAGGGAACCAGGCAGAGGGCCGTCTCGGTAGTGGCACCCACCCTGTGGAACGCCCTCCCATCAGATGTCAAAGAGATAAACAACTACCTGACATTTAGAAGACATCTGAAGTTCAGGGAAATTTTTTAATGTGTGACATTTTAATATATTTTTAATCTTTGTTGAAAGCCGCCCAGAGTGGCTGGGGAAACCCAGCCAGATGGGCGGGGTACTACTACTACTACTACTACTACTAAGCATTTTCCACTTAAGTATTATTTGTAGGCCTTTTGATTCTGGAGCATGCAGGCCGTTTCTCCATTTTGGACTGGGGTCTACGCAGCGCCAGCGGGCTGCCCAGCCAAAGGTCAAGATGCCACCGTGCCCATCTCACATACAAAAGCTGACCAGGCCAGCAGCTGAATCTTGTTAGTGGCAGGGCATCATCCTCTGGAGGGCACCGATATAACGGACTGGCTGGACGCTAAGGAATGGTGGGAGGCACCAGCTGGGGAACCCCCAAGGGGAAGAAAGCTCAGAGCCAGGGGATTGGTGGTAGGATGACTACGAGTGGTTGGAGGGAGAAGACTGGGAGGCAACAGGGCTTAGTGAGCAGGAAGAGGCTGGAGCAGAGAGCAGTCCAGAATCAGAGGCAGGAAAGGAGGGGGACCAGGAGACAGAGATGCTGAAGAATCCAGGGGGTCTCCCTGCCTCCTGCTGTGGTAAGCTCCCCTCTCCCCTGGTCTGCCAGAACTTATTATTGTTGGGGGGGTGGGTCTCCTACTCGACTGTTTTTGTTTTTTTTGTTTTTACTATGTATTTTATGATTTTATATTGTGATTTTATGTCATAACTGCCCTATGACAAATTAATAGATGTAATACAAAATACATAATAAAAACAAGAGCAATCCAATAGCCGCCCCCCCACAACACATTTTAAAAGGGTATTGGATCAGCTAAAGGCTGGGTTAAAGAATAATTTTTTTGCCTGGCGCCTAAAGGTTTATAATGAAGGCACCAGGCGAGCCTTTCTAGGGAGAGCAATTCCACAAATGTAGAAAAATGATGAGGGCAGAGCAAAGAGAGACAAGACGAAGGAGCCTCAGGTTGGGTTGCCATATGACCAGAATTTCCTGGACCTGTCTAGGATTCCAGAGACGGAATCCAATGACAATTAGCGCCCGGGGGGGGGGGGGGGTTGGGAAATCGTCAAAATGTCCGGGATTTTGAAACTCCCCCCCTCAAAAAAGCTCAAAAACATCTTTAAATATGGCAACCCTACCTCTGGTTTCTGGGGAAGGATGGAGAATGGAGGAGTGGGAAGGTGGGGGGAAAACCTTCAGTCCTTGCAACTGCCTCATTGGGACAAGACGTACTGAGAAGAGTTGCTGCGATCACTAGGCCCGAGCTGTTTTGGTTTCTTTGAATAAAGACTTAACCTCACTGACACCGGTGTTGTTGTTTTTTTACTCTTATCTCTGACCTTCTCCTGACTCCGGCTCCTGCCAGCCAGGCTGGCTGCTCTGCCCACGCAGCTGTGCTCTCCAACACCTCAACACCACTTCCTGCCCTACAGAATCTGCCGCCTGACACCTTCGCCGCCTCTGCCCAATGTTGGGGCCGGCCCTCAAGAGGTTTGCGTTCATTAATGTGTGCGAGTGAGCTCCCCCCCCCATTTGGGGAAGAACAAGGGTGCTCGGCTCTTACGAAACGATCACAAGGGGTTACGGGTAGAGGAGATGTGAGAGTAGCTTACCTGTAGCAGCAGCTCAACCATCTCCAGATTATCGTTCTCCACGGCATGCAGTAGCGGAGACCGCCCGCTCTTAATATCCTAGGGTGGGGAGAGAACCACAACGGTGCGAGAGTAAAGATTCGGTCAAATCCTGCATCAGTTCTCAGTTTACGGGAGGGAGGATGGAACAGAATTCACAATCCTCTTTGTTATGTACTGAGTTGAATAGGATCCAAAAGGCAGCAGTCTGATTGGTCCTAGAACAATAGGACCCAGAATGCAGCAGTCTGATTGGTCCACAGGAGCCACCCAATCCAGCTCCAGGTGGAAGTGAATCTGCAACCTGATTGGCCTACAGGAGAATCCCAGAATTAGCCAATCATGTGGGACCCATTGTGTAAATAATGTATATAAAGCAGACATTCTGGGGGAACTTCCATTCCTCCTCACTACTATGAGCTGAATAAAGCTCATGAAATCCACTCTCAACTCCAAGTTTATTTCACTCTTCCTCCAACCCGTTCCAGTCCTAAAAACAGTAGCTTAGAGGGCCATCAGAAAAGAGTAAGGAGGGCCGGAGCTGCCCTCTATCCTGCCCCATAGCACAGATAACAGAATGAATTGGGGGACTACCAGAACGATACATTTATAGCACCAGGATACTATTCCAACAGAATCCCAGAATCCTGAGAGTTGTCAGGAAAGCCGCCATTTTGTCCCCAAAACTACAATTGCCAGAGTGCTTTAGCTATCAATCCCTCTTCCCAAGAAACTCTGGGACTTGTAGCTCTGTGACTTTGAAATTAGATTTGCATTAGGAGGCACTTTCTGTTCTTAAAGGTGTGTGGGTGTGTGGAGGGGGAAAAAAACCCTAACATATTTGTTAATTCTGCTACATTCAAGCCCTGTCCTACTACGCTTCCTCGCTTTGCAAGAGCCATATGTCGACACCCTTGTGTACACTGTGAATGGACCCATTCACCAGCAAGTGTGTGCACACAGAAGGAATGACAGCTTAAACAACAACAAACGAAAGAGGAAGCTTGAATTCTGCTTAACATGGGTGGGGTAGGATGGATAACATTAAGTAAGGTGCAATCAGTATCTCCTCAGTGCTGAATCACTTTCTGTCAAACTCCCTTTTCGGTAGGCACTGTTATCTGTATCTATGCACTGCTGTTGTGCCTCAAGAATATTTCAATAAAATGCAAGGTGGCTTATTTTTTTTTTTAAAAAAATAAAAGATCTGCATAAATTTAAATGTTAAGAGTCAGAAGGGAGCACAAGGGTCATCTAGGGTTGCCATACGTCTGGAACTTCCTGGACATATCTGGGATCTGTTTGTCAGAAATTGTTTAAAATTGTTTAAAATGCCCAGGAAAACTTGGGCGTATGGCAACTCATGCCACAAGTGCTGCTTTTTTTGGTGAATTTCCCCCCAAAAAATAATCTCAAAAATTTCATTTTTTAGGGAGATTTTGCAAAGAAAACCTCAAGAACTTCTGCGTCCGGAATTTCACCCTTTGAAATATGGCAGCCCTAATCTAGTCTAATCTTTAGCCCCGGGTGGGGCTCGAACCCACAACCCTGAGATTAAGCACCTCAGGCTTTACCGAATGAGCTGTACAAGTGTGTGATTATTTATTTATCCCTCACCTTTTCCCCCCAACGAGAATATATAGTATAGTCCTGCATGTTAAGGGACGTGGGTGGCGCTGTGGGTTAAACCACAGAGCCTAGGACTTGCCGATCAGAAGGTCGGCGGTTCGAACACCCGCGACGGGGTTAGCTCCCGTTGCTCTGTCCCTGCTCCTGCCAACCTAGCAGTTTGAAAGCACATCAAACTGCAAGTAGATAAGCACCTAGTTTTTTGGGGGGGAAATAAAGGAAAAAATAAAGGATGTCTGTCTGGCGCACTCTGCTTCAGGGCGGCCCGCCCGCCGGGCGGCAGGCTGCTATCCGCAGCGTGGGAAGCCCTGCGGGGAACTCCCGCAGGGCTGCCTAGGCTGCGGATGTGTTCCCGAAGCGCCGGGCGCTCTGCTTTCAGGGTGCCCGACGCTCCAGGAAGCAGGCTACTATCCGCAGGCTAGACAGCCCTGCGGGAACTCCCACAGGGCTGCCTAGGCTGCGGATGTCTTCCTGAAGCCTGGAGCTTCAGCGAAAGCCTGCATTCGCCCCATAGGACGCACCCAGATTTCCCCTTCATTTTTGTGCGTCCTATAGGGCGAAAAATACTGTAGGTGTCGCTCTGGTGGGAAGGTAAACAGCGTTTCTGTGCGCTGCTCTGGTTCGCCAGAAGTGGCTTAGTCATGCTGGCCACATGACCCGGAAGCTGTACGCCGGCTCCCTCAGCCAATAAAACGAGATGAGCGCCGCAACCCCAGAGTTGTCCGCGACTGGACCTAATGGTCAGGGGTCCCTTTACCTTTACCTGCATGTTACTGCACAGCTATAAACTGAGAATAAGGAATCCAGAGGCTTCCATTTAAGAAGGATGGCTCAGTCTCCAGCCCTTAAGGTACATCTGACTGTAGTTTATATTATTTTTGTGTGTGTGCCTGTTCAGGTTAACAAGTCTGGAGGGAGCATCTGCTACATTTTTAAAAATCTTGCACAGCACTTAGTAGTTTGGGTGGTACAACAAATAAGGGAAGTTTTGGGGAGCGGGAAAGGCTGCTTTCCATCTGTTTCAATCAGTTTGTACATCGCCCGACATTTGATGACCATTCGATGAGTGTGCGGGTGACCTTATTGCAGCACCCCCTGCCCGACTCCGCCGATGGAAAAGTCTTGCACATGAGTCAACGCCAGAGGACATAAACACTTTGATTCATCTGAATTCTCCAAATTCCTGTTTTGAATTTGCTTTTAGACTACTGCCTCGCTGGTTTTGTACTGTATTTTTGCTTTGACAAATTAAAAGCAAACAAACATTTTTTTCAGTCACACGCCATTTAAAGATTTAAAAAATACTGAGTGGTTTAGAAGTGCTTATAAATAAATAAATAAATAAATAAATAAATGTTCAGAAAATGGTAACCACATGATCCAAGTGGACAATCGAGCATGATCTTCTTCATGCAGGGCATAGTTGAACTATGGAACTCCCTCCCACTAGAGACAGTGATGGCCACCAACTTGGATGGCTTTAAAAGAGGACCGGACAAATTCAGGGAGGATAAAGGCTAGGAATGGCTACTAGCCACAATGGCTAGGCTTAGCTTGAGGGCTTGAGTCACTTGAATGTGACTCAGAAACTACAACTAAAGCAGCAGCTAGACTGGTGAGTGGGAGCAGCCACCGGGACCACGGAACACCAGTCCTAAAAGACCTACCTTGGCTCCCAGGACGTTTCCGAACACAATTCAAAGTGTTGGTGCTGAGCTTTAAAGCCCTAAAAGGCCTCAGCCCAGTATACCTGAAGGAGCGTCTCCACCTCCATCGTTCTGCCCGGACTCTGAGGTCCAGCGCCGAGGGCCTTCTGGTGGTTCCCTCATTGAAAGTAGTGAGGTTACAGGGAACCAGGCAGAGGGCCTTCTTGGCAGTGGCACCCACCCTGTGAAATGCCCTCCCATCGGATGTCAAGGACATAAACAACTATCTGACTTTTAGAAGACATCTGAAGGCAGCCTTGTTCAGAAAAGTTTTTAATGGCTGACTTTTTATTATGTTATTATATGTGTTGGAAGCTGCCTAGATTGGCTGGGGAAACCCAGCCAGATGGACAAGGTATAAATCAGGGGTGCCCAAACTTTTTTCCAAAGAGGGCCAGATTTGATGAAGTGAACATGCGTGAGGGCCGACCAAAGTTGTTGTTTTTTAGGATTGAAGTTGTTGAGGTATGTTTACAATTTTACCCCAAGGTTGTTGAGGGGTTTTTTTAGGATTGAAGTTGAGCTTTGGGGGGGATTTTACCCCAAGAAATAAACTGCCACAGGGGCCGGATTAAACTGACTGGCAGGCCAAATTAGCCCCCCAAAACAGACTTTGGACATGCCTGGTACAGTGGTACCTTGGGTTAAGAACTTAATTTGTTCTGGAGGTCCGTTCTTAATCTGAAACGGTTCTTAACCTGAGATACCACTTTAGCTAATGGGGCCTCCCGCTGCCGCCGCACCGCCACAGCACAATTTCTGTTCTCATCCTGAAGCAAAGTTCTTAACCCAAGGTACTATTTCTGGGTTAGTGGAGTCTGTAACCTGCAGCGTCTGTAACCTGAAGCATCTGTAACCCAAGGTACTACTGTATAAAAAATAAAATTATTATTAAGGTAAAGTAAAGGACCCCTGGACGGTTAAGTCCATTCAAAGGCGACTATGGGGTTGCGGCGCTCATCTCGCTTTTCAGGCTGAGGGAGCCGGCGTTCGTCCACAGACAGCTTTCCGGGTCATGTGGCCAGCATGACTAAACCGCTTCTGGCGCAACGGAACACCATGATGGAAACCTGAGCGCATGGAAACGCCATTTACCTTCTCGTCACAGTGGTACCTATTTATCTACTTGCACTGGTGTGCTTTTGAAGAAGAGTTTGGATTTGATATCCCGCCTTTCACTCCCTTTAAGGAGTCTCAAAGCGGCTAACATTCTCCTTTCCCTTCCTCCCCCACAACAAACACTCTGTGAGGTGAGTGGGGCTGAGAGACTTCAGAGAAGTGTGACTGGCCCAAGGTCACCCAGCAGTTGCATGTGGAGGAGCGGAGACTCGAACCCGGTTCCCCAGATTACAAGACTACCGCTCTTAACCACTACACCACACTGGCTCTCTCAACTGCTAGGTTGGCAGGAGCTGAGCAGAGCAACGGGAGCTCATCCTGTTGCGGGGATTTGAACTGCTGACCTTCCGATCAGCAAGCCCAAGAGGCTCAGTGGTTTAGACCACAGTGCCACCTGCGTCCCTAAAATTATTATTATTTTTTGGGTGGCCACTGTGAGAACAGGCTGCGGGACTAGATAGGCCTTTGGCTTGTTCCAACAGACAGGCTCTTCTTACACTAAGGAAATAAAGTCGGGGGGAAACAACTTGTTTGCAGTGATTAATCTGTGTTGGGTCATTTTCACATGCAAGTCATCTCCTGAGGCTGCTGCCAATGAGATTTGGAAGTTCGATGTTGAAATCTCACAGCCATGACAAGGCACCGTTCAGAGGCTTGTCTAGCAAATGGGCCGTGATGACCGAGCGCAGCCTCTCCCTGTGACTTGCAGGAGCAAGTAACTCTCCATACCTGCGGCTGTCTAAACAGCTCTTACGCCCTCAAGCAACTCCACCCGTCCTGCCTCGCTTGCCCAGGAACGCTGTGATGCCCATTTTGTCTCCGCTTCCTCCAGAATCCTTCCTCAAAGCCATTTCTTCTGCGGAGTTTTCGGTACAACACCGTAGACCTCCTACCCATGCATATGGTTCCCCTTTGTTTACAATCCATTCTCCCAGTGCCATTGTACTGGATCTTATATTGTAAGCTCCTTGGGACAGGGACCTGGCCTCTTGTAAAACACTGTACAGTGGTACCTCTGGTTACAAACTTAATTCATTCCGGAGGTCCGTTCTTAACCTGAGGTACCACTTTAGGTAATGGGGCCTCCCGCTGCTGCGTGATTTCTGTTCTCATCCTGAGGCAAAGTTCTTAACCTGAGGTACTAATTCCGGGTTAGCGGCATAGCTGTCAATTTTTCCTTTTTCTTGCGAGGAATCCCATTCGGAATAAGGGAATTTCACTTTAAAAAAAGGGAAACGTTGACAGCTATGGTTAGCAGAGTCTGTAACCCGAAGTGTTTGTAACCCAAGGTACCACTGTACCAGCAAATAAACAAGCTATGGAAACAGATGCACATTTGATGAAATTTACAGTTTTACACAGGCAGCAAGCTTTGCTTGGAGCTGGAAGGGACCCTGTGGATCATCTTGTTTAACTGCCTACAATGCAGGAATTTGCAGCTTTCCCATACAGGGATCGAACTCACCACCTTGGCATTATTAGCACCACGCTCTAACCAAGTGAGCTATCCAGCTCCTGGACAGAGTTCGCTTGAACCCTGCTATATTAGAGCTGTGAGCAAGGCGTCCTCTCAAAATTCTTCACTCCATTTGTGGGCAACTACTGGGTGGGGTGTTTTTTCCTGGAAGGGGGAAGGTGGATTTCACTGAATTTCTCAGAGGAAGGGAAATCCCCTAACAGTTTCTTGGGAGTAGGGCTCGTCATTAGTCATGAGGGGAGGACAAATTCCTTCTTTCTCCCTCTGAGACTGTGTGTGTGGCCACAGTCAAACCATGTAAAGCATTATGATGCCACTTTACACAGTCATGGCTTCCCCCTAAGAATCCTGGGAGTTGTAGTTCCTTAAGGGTGCTGAGAGTTGTTGGGAGGGGTCCCCTGCTCCCCTCAGAGTGTCTCAGTTCCCAGAGTTCCCTGGCAAAAGAGATGGAGCGCTAAACCACTCTGGGAATTGTAGCTCTGGGAGGGGAATATGGGCTTTCTAACAACTCTCAGCACCCTTAACAAACTACAGCTCCCAGGATTCTTTGGGGGAAAGCCATGACTGTTGAAAGTGGTACCATAGTGCTTTACATGGATAGTTTGAATGTGGCCTCTGTGTGTGTTTGTTTGTAGCCTGGGCCCTATTTTGCATCCTCCATAATGCCCCGGGCCTAGCTATGTTGCAGGGCATTGTGGGAGGGAAATGGCAGCCACCACAAACGTTGGAGAACATTCAGAGAAAATTCAGCGAAATGGCCTTCTTCTTCTGAGCGGAGTGAGAAAAAGGAAACCTGTCTTCAATTTTCCTCAGAACGACGTCTTCTGAGAAAGTTCAGTGCAGCTCCCACACTTACTTACCACAGCATCAACATCTGCCCCATGTTCTAGCAGAGTCAGAATAATGTCACGATTCTGGGTTCCAACAGCCACATGGAGAGGTGTAAAACCTGGTCAAAAAGCAAGAGAAAGAAATGAGACAACTGAAGAAGGAAGGAAATGTACATCTGAGGATTATCTGTCTCACGGAGGCAGGATAGTTCCTCCATATAATGAATAGAAAATGGGGAAACATAACAAAATGATGTAGAAAACCCAGTACAGTAGTAATAATAATTTTATCGCTGTGGTTTAAAATGGTATTTCAGGATTTACATTTAGATGACTGTGACTGCTATATGTTTAAGGTCTCCTTGTGACTGAAAGCAGTATATAAAAGTGTATGGTAGTAATGATAATAATAATAATAATAATAATGATAATAATGATAATAATAATAAGAAGGATCCTATGTGGCAATCATTTTTGGAATACTTTATACTATGGTTGCCAGATTTTTTTCAATGAATCCGGGGACACTTTTTTTTTAAAGCTGAGTAGCAACAGGGAGTCAGTAGTGGGGATGGTGAGGCAAAACACCCTGGGCCCAAGCACACATGCATATTGTATAAAGGCGCAAAGCCCTTTGTTCGCACCCTGCGAAACATAAATGCGCAGAGTTGGGGGTAAAGTCAAGGAAAGTTACAGTGCCTGCTGTGGCTATAGAGACTGAAACAGGAGAGACATGTTTTGTTCGTTCATTCATTCATTCATTCATTCATATTTATACTATGTAGATTGCAAAATCAGCTGCCATGCCAAGTTGAAGATGTTGGCTTTGATCTCCAAGACCACCATTTTCCATACGGTCTACCAGGAACACAGTAATCTATAGGTAGCGGGGACCCCCAGAACTACTAAAATTCAGCTGCCCAGGGTTTGAATAACACATCCATTGTGCTCAAACTGAGAAGCTCCAGACCATGGGTGGTGTGACAATGTATGGAAGTTAACCAAAGCTCTGAATTTCATTAGGGCAGCGGGTCGGGGCGGGGTGGGAGTTATATCCTTGGGTCCCGATCAACACACCAACCCATTTCCCCACCCCCACTCCTGGTTCCTCATCCACACTCACCCTCAAAGTTTCGCGCCTCCAGATCCAGAGGGGCAGGGCTCCCATCCAGCAGCTCCTGCAGGCAATGGACGCTGTCATGTTCGCAGGCAAGGTGGAGGGCGGTCTGCCCGTTGCGGTCCAGCACCATGGGCGACGCTCCGTGAGACAACAGCAGCTTCACCAGAGTTGGCTGGGCTGTGATGACAGCCAAGTGTAACGGGGTCTGGAGTTTGTAGGGGACAAAAAAACCCCCTCTTTGTGAATGCGGATGGCTGCTGGTTATGTATTTATAGAGGTCTACTATAAACCACAGAGCCTAGGACTTGCCAATCAGAAGGTTGGCGGTTCGAATCCCCATGACGGGGTGAGTTCCCGTTGCTCGGTCCCTGCTCCTGCCAACCTTGCAGCTCGAAAGCACGTTAAAGTGCAAGTAGATAAATAGGTACCGCTCCGGCGGGAAGGTAAACGGCGTTTCTGTGCGCTGCTCTGGTTTGCCAGAAGCGGCTTAGTCCTGCTGGCCACATGACCCGGAAGCTGTACGCCGGCTCCCTCGGCCAATAGAGCGAGATGAGCGCAGCAACCCCAGAGTCGGTCACGACTGGACCTAATGGTCAGGGGTCCCTTTACCTTTACTATAACTAAAGTTCTTAATCTGGGCCCTCTGAGGCCTTCGTCTCCGTCAAAGCCAGCAGCTGCGGTATGTTTCAGGTATGCTTTGAAGCAGCCATAATGGATCAAAATGGATGTTGGCGTCTCTTCTGTAGAAGCAGCTCAAAGCATTGTGTACATGTTTGCTGCTTTAGATATGGGTCACACAAGCCTTGACAATAGGATTTAGAGTAACAGGAAAAGCTTTTTTATGTCTGTGACAACAGCTGTGAGAATGCTTCTAGCCCAGAGATAGAAGGACAGAGAAGAACAGCAGACTAAACTGATGGAGTATGCAGAGATGGCGAAACTGACAGGAAAGATCAGAAACCAGGAAGATTAAGTATTCCTAAAATACTTTATTTTAAATATGGAACCCATGAAGGGAAGTAGGGAGGTCCGAGGGTTTGAAAGAACCACTTGTTTTAATGTTTGAAATGGTTAAAGATAAAATGTGTAAAATTATGTAAAACCAAGTGTCCTGGGAGACGATGAAAGTGGAAGCTTCTGATTCTAACTGTAAACTAATAACAGTTCCCTGGGATGTTCCGGAAACCCTGGCTTGATTAAACTCTAGTTAGGATCGATTTGCAGTTTCAAAACCTGGCTTACTCTGAAACCACAACACCCCACAGTTTTTGAGTTTGGGCATCATGAGGAGTTGATTCTGGATGTAGAAACACCTGTTTCTTTTTTTCTAGCATGTAAACAAGGAGGAGAGAGGGGGAAGGGGGTGAGAAGGAGCTTGGGGGTCTCCACAGCTAGGAGAGCTAGCAGGAAACCACGGTCACACGTTAAATCCGAAACAGACCTCTAAACAGAGAATAAGCTCCGCTGAATGCTACCGGATTCACGTCTGAGTAACATTTAGGATCAGACTAATGCTTCGCTTAGCAGCAGTCACGAAATCAAAAGACGCCTGCTTCTTGGGAGAAAAGCAATGACAAACCTAGACAGCATCTTAAAAAGCAGAGACATCACCTTGCCAACAAAGGTCCGTATAGTTAAAGCTATGGTTTTCCCAGTAGTGGTGTATGGAAGAGAGAGCTGGACCATAAAGAAGGCTGATCGCCGAAGAATTGATGCTTTTGAATTCTGGTGCTGGAGGAGACTCTTGAGAGTCCCATGGACTGCAGGAAGATCAAACCTCTCCATTCTGAAGGAAATCAGCCCTGAGTGCTCACTGGAAGGACAGATCGTGAAGCTGAGGCTCCAATACTTTGGCCACCTCATGAGAAGAGAAGACTCCCTGGAAAAGACCCTGATGCTGGGAAAGATTGAGGGCACAAGGAGAAGGGAACAACAGAGGACGAGATGGTTGGATAGTGTTCTCGAAGCTACAAATATGAGTCTGACCAAACTGCGGGAGGCAGTAGAAGACAGGAGTGCCTGGCGTGCTCTGGTCCATGGGGTCACGAAGAGTCGGACACGACTAAACGACTAAACAACAACAACAAGGCTTCGCTTCCAGCACAAAACTCAATGAAAAAGTGGAATGACTTGTTGTAAATTGCTTCTGGGTTACTTCTGTAAGAGGGAAAACGACTAGTAAGTTCAGTAAATAATAATTTATTATCTCCCTATTTATCTCACTATGTGTGTGTGCGCGCTGCTGTCTGTGCACAGGAATCGTGCTGTGTTGTTGCAGGTCATTTCTGGGTAACAGCAGAAGAGCAACTGCAGGGAAAGTTGAACACAGGTCCCCCCCACTTCCCTGCACCAGAGCTGTTTGTAGCTGGCGATGTCACAGAAGAGAAACCGAAGAAGTGGCAGGGTTCAAGCTCAGCATCTCCTACGCAGCCAGCTAACCAGAGGAAACCCAGCTGGTTCCCACAGAAGAAACCACAGCCCCCAGCACCTGCCTGCGCTGACGCAATCGGGCGCTTCTCAGAAAGGGACAGGCCTGGTGCAAAAGAAGGGTTTATGAGAAACAGATAAGGAAATGACAGCGAGGCTGGGAGGGCGTTCTGCAGCCCGCTTTCCCCTGAACTCCGCACAAACACAAACACACACACACACAAACCTATTTTGGCGGCATTGCACCATTCTCTCGAACCCTCACCGCAATCTGACTTGCGTAGGGTGCAGTTGTTTTCCTCGGAAAGGCTTCCAGACAGAGAGTCCGTAAACAGGAAAGCTCTTTTCTTCAGAGACCCTCCAAAGTCAGAGCCCAAGTATATTTTAGGAGCCCACTGGACTAGGCCAAAGGCCCATCTAGTCCTGTTTCCCAAGTTTTCCAACCAGCTGCCTGCAGGAAGCCCGCAATCAAGATCCCAGCACAAGAGCAACTCTCCCCTTCCTGTGGCTTCCAGCAACTGGTTTTCAGAAGCTTTCCTGTGGGAGAGAGTTCCACAGTTTCACATAGCACTGTGGAAGGCATTTGATTTGGAAGTCTTTTGGCCGGACTTTTGTGGTAGAGGTGGGTCCGTATGGGACGAGGCTGAAGGCCATCGGATAGCTTGATTTGGCACAACTGGAGAGTTTTTTTTAATAAAAAAAATACCTTTATTTTGCTTTAAACAAATACAGATAAATATAGGCAATCAAAATTATAAAAGAAAATTGCTTAATAATAATGATGATGATGAAAAAAGCTAAAAAACTACCAAAAAAAAATCAAAGTATGTGGCATAGAACATAAGCCATTATGGGAAAGAAAAAAGAAAGGAGGAGGAGGAGGAAAGTAAAAAACGAAAAAAGAAAAAAAAGGGGGGGGAGAAAAAAAGAGAAAAAAGAGTAAGATGAGCCAAAACACAAGAAGGCTCATCTATTGTACGCTTCTGTCAAGGTCACAACAGATCATTATTCTTATCAATTCTCTCTATCTACATTCCATCTTGGTATTAGGGAACATTTCCCTATGCAGTATCATTCTAAACATAACCAGGTCTTTCTTGATGAACCCTTATCCCCTAGATAATTATTTAAACATTCCCATTCCTCTTTCACCATCTTTTTAGGTTTATCTCTTATTGCATCTGTCAGCTTCACAAGCTCCAAGTACTCACACAATTTGACTACCCATTCATCTTTAATGGGTATATTTTTATCTTTCCAGTGTTTTGCCACTATAATCCTTGCTGCTGACGTCACATACATAACCTGGTTTTATTTTTGGAGAGTATTCTTTTTGTTCTGTTCCCAACCCCACCGGCTTTTGTAAAATGGCATCATCTGCCTTGATGCCTACGGAGAGGGTGGGCCACTTTCAAATATCTCAAGGGCTGTCACATAAGAAAAGAGGGAACAAGCTTGTTTTCTCCAGCTCTGGAGGGTAGGATTTGGGGGGTAATGGGTTCAAGTTACAAGAAAGGAGATTCCGACTCAAAATTAGGAAGAACTTGAGAGCAATTTGACAGTGGAACGGATTCCCTCGTGAGGTTGTGGACTCTCCTTCCTTGGAGATATTTTTAAACAGAGGTTGGATGGTCACCTGTCATGGATACTTTAGCTGAGATTCCTGCATTGCAGTGGGGTTGGACTAGATGACCCTTGGAGTCCCTTCCAGCACTTCAATGCTATGATCTTGATATTAAAAATGTACCAGGAAGCATTTGGACAAGAGGAAGCTAGCTCTGCCCCAGCAAAACTAAAAAGAAACCAAAACTGCAGAAGCCAAAAGTGAGTGTCACTCATGGTTGATTGAATTTTCATTTCCAGTTAAAAGGATTTCCAGGAACAAGTCTATACTAGCTTCCATCCACCCCCAAGACCCCGGAAAGCCAGATGTTACAGTAGAGAAATTGACGATGAGGCAATACTAGGAACAGATGGGTCCAGGATCGCCGGGCAGAAGGCAAGTTTGCAATGTCACTTTCTGCTACTAGCTGGAAAAAAATAAATCTAAACACGGGACATTTGTACGTGCTCCAAGAGGGTGGAGCTGTTTCCCGATCATGTAAAATCCAATTGACATTTGTTCTGATTCAGCAGTAAAGAGGGGGTTTTCCCAGGGAAAGTAGCAAGACAATAAAAAACCACCCCACTCTCCTACTGGGACTTGGAATCATGGGGGAAATTAAAGTGTGGATGGGCTGTGAGGAATCCTGAGTATTTGTGACATCGGAAGGGATTATTTTCCTGCAAAATGGGAGGTATAGGTTTGCCACCAAAATAGTGACGCTGCCCCTAAGTAACTAGGAAGCTGTAATACAGAGACAGAAACTTGAGGACTAGGATAATGCCAACATTTGGGGCACAACACCAAATTCCGGTTAGTGGAACAGTGCAGTGAAGACAACCAGAAAGGGGGTCTCCTCCAACCTTGCAATCAAAAGCAGCGGGAATGTTCAACTTTTCATTTTTGAGAGTCTTTATTAGATCAGGACATCTCCGTAAAGGACTTTTCCCTGCAAGTTTTCCTTTTCGGAAGGCAGAATTTCTGGACTCTCACTGCTTGGGTGGCAGGGATTTCAAGCAGGAACAAGGAACATTATTCTTTATTAAACATGGGTCACTTTTTTATTAGAAAACAACAACGCAAGCAATAAATAAATAAATAAATAACACACATTAAACCAGCAAAAAAATTCTAAAGATCATCTTTTTAAAACACAGAACACCCCACCCACTGAAGGAAGCCACAGCTCATTAAAAGCCAAAGAAATGTTTTTGCCTGCCACCCTAAGGTTAGCAATGATGGTGCCAGGTGAGACTCGCTAAGCATTCCACAAGAGGGGGGACACCACTGAAAAGGCCCCGTTCTGGTGTTGGCCTCCTCTGGAGGAGGAACACAGAGAAGAGCTATCAGCTGAGGGTTTGAGCCAGTTCATAAGCAGAGAGGCAGTCTTTGCGGGACTGGCGTCCTGAGCCACGTAAAGCTCAAAAACAGCACTTTGAATTTGGCCCGGAACCTATCTATGCTGGAAGGATGCAAGATGGATTTACCCAGGAGGCAGCCTTCATTTAGTAAGACATCTCCTTGGCTGCCAGTGGGAACTCTCTTTCCTGCGGTCTGAGGATTGCGGATGGGCGTGAACAAGACAAAACTCCCACGAGCCATCCTTTCCGTTGCGCAAGGCCTTTTCAGATTTACGGCTGCCACAGAAATCTAGTTTAAAAACCTTGCCCGCCTCAAATCTGAAAGTTGGCTGTGCACAAGAAATAAAGGACAGAAACGGAGCGAGGAGAAAGCATGCTTTCAGAGACTGCTTTTTATCTGCAGGATGGTTTGACCCTAAACTGCATGCTAGAAATAATATATGCATAGTTATAACCCCGACCCCCTCTAAAACCTTTACCCCCCCCCAACTTCCGCCTGTTGTTCCTGGTGTTGTGACTCAGTGCTGCTGAGTCTTTGAGTCTTTGAGTCTTTCTTGAGCCACTCGGTTGAGGAAGTTGCCTGGGGTTTGCCACCAGCGAGGGCTAGGGAAAGTCCCTTGGGCGGGTAGAGGGGAGGGCACAAGAAGCTGCTGGGAATTAAGCCTTCGAAGCTTACGACTCCTCAAGGACTGCAGGGTTTGGGGCCTTGTTGGCGTGCAGCTTTTGCTAGGCTGGTCTCCTTCCAGATGTACTCAGTGCCGCTGCTAAGCTACAATCTCTGCTCCTCCTGGGAAGCCTGATGCAACCTGCTTGGTCCAAGGATTAGGAGACTCCAAACCAGGGGTCAGCAAACTTTTTCAGCAGGGGGCCGGACTACTGTCCCTCAGACCTTGTGGGGGGCCAGACTATATTTTTTTGGGGGGGGATGAACAAATTCCTACGCCCCACAAATAACCCAGAGATGCATTAATAATAATAATAATAATAAATAAATTCCACTGTCCACTGAAATAAATAATAAATTCCACTGTTCGACAGTGGAATTTGCTGCCAAGGAGTGTGGTGGAGTCTCCTTCTTTGGAGGTCTTTAAGCAGAGGCTTGACAACCATATGTCAGGAGTGCTCTGATGGTGTTTCCTGCTTGGCAGGGGGTTGGACTCGATGGCCCTTGTGGTCTCTTCCAACTCTATGATTCTATGAATAATAATAATAATAATAATAATTTATTATTTATACCCTGCCCATCTGGCTGGGCTTCCCCAGACACTCTGGGCGGCTTCCAAAAGAATATTAAAATACCGTGATACATCAAACATTAAAAGCCTCCAGATGTCTTCTAAAAGTCTGGTAGTTGTTGTTCTCTTTGACATCTGGTGGGAGGGTGTTCCACAGGGAGGGCGCCACTACCGAGAAGGCCCTCTGCCTGGTTCCCTGTAACTTGGCTTCTCGCAGTGAGGGAACTGCCAGAAGGCCCTCGGTGCTGGACCTCAGTGTCCGGGTAGAACGATAGGGGTGGAGATGCTCCTTCAGATATACTGGGCCGAAGCCGTTTAGGGCTTTAAAGGTCAGGACCAACACTTTGAATTGTGCTCGGAAATGTACTGGGAGCATTTTAAATAAAAGGACACATTCTACTCATGTAAAAACACACTGATTCCCAGACCGTCCGTGGGCCACATTTAGAAGGCGATTGGGCCGGATCTGGCCCCCGGGCCTTAGTTTGCCTACCCATGCTCCAACCTCTCAAGAGTTTACTTCTCCCTGCTCCAGCAACCTCCCATGCGTTTTGTCTTTTCCAAGTGCAGTGGTACCTCGGTTTTCGAACGACATCCATTCCGGAAGACTGTTCGACTTCCGAAATGTTCGAAAACTGAGGCGCAAAGGGCGGCCTGCCAATTCAATAGAGAAAATTGTGAAAAACAACAGATACACGCAGTGGAAGCCGTTCGACTTCCGAGGCACGTTTGAAAATGGAAGCATTTATTTCCGGGTTTTTGGTGGTTAAAAACCGAAATGTTGAGCAACGGAGATGTTCGAAAACCGAGGTACCACTGTAATATTATTATTTTTTTAAAAAATGTAGCAAAGAATGCTGAATACTGAGATCTCTGTGAATTACGGAAATTAAGCTTATTTGGGGAGAAGTTACCTGTGAACTTAAATCATGACCCTTGAAAACCAACTCAAGCCTCGCCCCCTGCTTCAGACAAGAATTGTCCATCAGCTTTCAAGCCTTTCTTCTCAGCCTTAAAGGCTAGAAACTGGGTTTAAAAAAACACATAAAGTCCTGAATTCTGTGTCTGGAGCCTCCACACACATTCAGCACGTTGCAATAATTCAGACTTGATAAAATCAAGATTTATCCTCATTTCATCACACAAAACAGCGAGGCCAGGGACTCAAAAGGATCGCCAGCAATATCTTCTGGAAAAACCCGCCAGAGCATTTGTTCGACTACAACTCCCATCATCCTGGGCCACAGGTCCTGCTTGCTAGGGATGATGGGCATTGTAGTCCAAGAACACCGGGAGACCCGAGTTTGAAAAACACTGGACTGTGGCAACATTTAAAGCACCCCACTATCATTGCCAGACCCCTCTCTCTACTGGGAGCAAAGACTAAATCAAGAGGGGTGCATTGGGCTGAAGACCATGCGAGTCGGTCCCTCGGTTGCCATGGAGGCTGCGAAATCCCACGCTGGCCCCGAGGCATCCTGGGAAAGGACCAAGAGTCCTGAGTCCTTCCAAAACCACACTGGAGACAGGCCTGTCCAACTTAGTTACTAGTGGGTGGTGTCCCAACAATATGGAGGCTCAGCACATCAGGCCAATGACTGCATGAGCTCATGAGCCACAAAACAGACCCAAGACCTTTTTACTGATCTCTCAGCAGGTCCTGATCTGCCGCCACCTCTCCACCTCCGCTCTGAGAACACGCCCAAGACTTCTCCATGGTGATGGATCCCAGGGGAAGATAGGATTGCGCAAACTTTCAGGGAAATGCACCAACCATTAGGAAGCTCGGATATCCTGGAAACCAGAGTTCGAAACCTACTACTTGGTCCCAAACCAAGTGGGTTCTGCTCAGGCCCTATTTGCACAATAACGCAATAGGATAGAACTTTAAACAGTCAGGGTTTCTTCCCCCAAAGCATCCTGGCAACTGGTGTGTTTTTTTAATGGGTGCTGAGCGTTGTCAGGAGACCCCCTTCGCAGAACTACAATTCCCAGAGTTCCCTGGGAGGAGGGATTGATTGCTAAACCACTCTGTGAGGGGAATAGGGGGCCTCCTGGCAACTACGTTTCCCATGATTCCTTGCGGGGGAAGCCATGGCTGCAAAGCGGTATAACAGGGCATCAAAAATACAGCGCAGATGTGGCCTCAAGAGTAGACCCATTGCAAGTAATGCACCCGAGTGAGCCATGTCTGTTATCTCTCCAACGCGTCAACTCTTGAGTAGAATTAACCCTGGATATGACCCTTTGCCTTTTCAGACTCAAAATCCCAACCTACAATACGGGACCTAATGACCACTTCTGACATTTTGAAGTGTTTCTCTTCGCTCTCTCACTGCAGCAGGGCACTACAGCTGCACAAGATGGACCTGTGAGTCTGTGGTCACGTTAATAACCAATTTTAAAAGCCGCCAACTTTCCACAGAGGGGGCACAGGCGTCCAGGAACCCCCTGCCTTGGCAGAAGAATGGATCGAAAGCCCAGTAAACCTCAGTCGATCCCTGGTCTCTTCTGAGCAAGGTTTCTGCCCAAATCCCTGTGCTATCTGTGTGGGTCTTCTTACTCTTGAGGGTTGTGTTCTTGAGGGAAGGTTATATGTTAGCAGCCATTGGAAATGGATCCTGTGGTAGGAAAACATCCCCTTTCCTCGTCTCTCTGCTGCCCCCCCAACCCAATTTCCTCTTTAGCTCTCTCTTCACTCAGGGCTGGATGAACCATTCAGGAAATAAGGACGCCCTTAGGGCATCAATGGGGGCAGCACAGAAAATTTCCATTGCTGGATTTACCGTGGTGGATCTGAACCAGCTCCCGCCAAAAAATGGCTCCCACAATAAGTGAAAAAAATTACATACTTATACACATGCGTGCATACATACAACAACAAAATAGTAATACGGTGGTACCTCGGGTGGTAATTCGTGTGGAACTCCCTCCCACCAGATGTCAAAGAGAACAACAACTAGCAGACTTTTAGAAGACATCTGAAGGCAGCCCTGTTTAGGGAAGCTTTTAATGTTTGATGCATTACTGTATATTAATATTTTGTTGGAAGCCGCCCAGAGTGGCTGGGGAAGGGGTATAAATAATAAATTATTATTATGGTTATCTTGGTTGCCCTCCTCTGCACATGTTCCAGCTTGTCAATACATCTGGTTACGTACTTAATTCGTTCCGGAGGTCCATTCTTAACATGAAACTGTTCTTAACCTGAAGCACCACTTTAGCTAACGGGGCCTCCTGCTGCTGCCGTGCTGCCAGAGCACAATTTCTGTTCGCATCCTGAACAAAGTGCTTAACCCAAGGTACTATTTCTGGGTTAGCGGAGTCTGTAACCTGAAGCGTATGTAACCTGAAGTGTATGTAACCCGAGGTACCACTGTAATAGAATCATAGAGTTGGAAGGGACCCTGACGGTCATCTAGCCCAACCCCTAAAATACAGGAATCTTTTGCCCAATGTGGGGCTTGAACCCACAACCCTGAGATTGAGAGTCTTCTGCTCTACTGACAGAGCTATCCTAGCTAGAGGTTGATGATATTCATTCATCTTAATGAATTTTGGAAACAGATTGGTATAGAAATATCAGGAATTGTAGGAAGGAACGTGGAAATAACTAAATTAATGGTTCTTATTACTCTGAGTAGTACTGAGTTAAAAACAAAAGAGGAATGCAAATAGGTAAAATTGATGGTAATTGCAGCCAGACAGGTCATAGCGAGTAATTGGGAAAATGCAGAAGAGTTAGGGATGAACCAATGGAGGAAAAAACTGAATAATATTATAATTTTAGAATACTTAACTGTGTAGATACATAGAATGAAAGGGTTTAAGGTCACTGAGAAAGAGGAGGATTGGTTTGAGAAGATATAGAATTATTTGAGTAGGTTTGAACAATATGGGGCAATTAAAATGTTAAAAGTTAAGTAACACTTGTGGAAGGAGGAGTGTATATAGAAGTGTACATATGGTTGATTTGTATATGTTATTATTGAATATGTATATTATTGAATATTGTATACCCAATGTATCAGCCGCCTGGGGGGTTTCACTGTTTGTGTTTTGGTGACTGGTAAAAAATAAAAATACACTCATCTTGGGAACACAACCAAATTAGAACCTTGCAACTTGTATATGGGGGCACCAAAATCTTTTAACTGCTTAGGGCCTCTAAAGGTCTGGATCTAGAATACCCCAGCTTTACTGGAAGCCCTAAAGAGTGGGGGAACCTGTTCTCTCTGCCTCCCTTGATGCACAAGACCTGATCACGTCTAAAACTTCCTGGAGGGGGAAGGGATGTGGCTCCGTGGTTCAGAGCCTCTGCTTTGCATGTAGAAGGTCTCGCGGTTCGTTCCCCGGCGTCTCTGGGTAGGGCTGAGAACTGAAACCCTGGAGAGCCACTGCTTTGCCAGTCAATGCACAGGCAAAACTGAGCTAGACGGACTCGGCCCCAGTTTGCACTGTGCATTTAAAGCACCGTGCAGGGCCGGCCCACCCAAGAGACAAGGGGAGGCGACCGCCTCAGGCAGCAGAGTCCGCTGGGACAGCAGATCCTGATGTAGAATTTTAGCCAGGGCTGGCCCAGCCAAGAGGAAAGGTTAATGCACTATTTAACGTAGGGCCGGCCCACCCAAGAGGCAAGTGGAGGCGACCGCCTCAGGTGGCAAGATCCACTGGGGCGGCAGAGCCCTGATGTCCATCTTTCTCCCCCCCCCCTTGCTCCTGATGTAGATCTTCCTTCACCCCTTCTTCCCTGTGGGGAGAGAAGTGCCATTTTAGCTCTGCTTCAGGTGCCAAATTGTTTTGGGTCCGCCCTGGCACTATGATACAACTTTAAACAGCCCCCACCCCAGGAAAAAGTTGTGGGAGCTGTAGTTTGCTGTGGGTGCTGAAAGTTGTTAGGAGATACCTGATTCCATTCGCTAAAACTACAATTCCCAGAGTTCCTTGGGAAGCAGGACTGACTGCGAAACAAGGCTGAGGATTGTAACAGGAGGTCTCCAAACAGGGCTTAACAAACTACAGCTCCCAGAGTTCTTTGGGGGAAGCCATGACTGTTTAAAGTGGTATCGCAGTGCTTTCAATGTCTGGGGTGAATGTGGCCTTGGTATAAGGCAGGTTGCTGTGATTCCTCTCCCCACTTTTCCAGCCTGAGACCTACAATAACATTCGGCCGTCCACATTGGTGCGAAGAATGAAAAGCCAGATGGAAGCTTTCTCCCCGCGGCCTAAGAGAGAGGCAATCACTCCCCCAAGCTGTGAGGGCTTGGATGGAGAAGCCCTCCAAGTCTTCCCAAACGTGCTGCTAAAGCAAAGACCCCATGTCCAGGAGCCCGTGTACAGTGGTACCTCTGGTTACGTACTTAATTCGTTCTGGAGGTCTGTTCTTAACCTGAAACTGTTCTTAACCTGAAGCACCACTTTAGCTAATGGGGCCTCCTGCTGCCACCGCGCGATTTCTGTTCTCATCCTGAAGCAAAGTTCTTAACCCGAGGTAATATTTCTGGGTTAGCGGAGTCTGTAACCTGAAGCGTATGTAACCTGAAGCATATGTAACCCGAGGTACCACTGTACCTCAAAATATCAGGTGCTGCGGACAAACAACAAGGTATGATTGCCTTCTCTATGCTAAGATTCTTGGTGGCCACGGTGGGATTTATTTATTTTTTGCATTTCCGTTCGCCTTGCTTTCCTCCAAACAGCATGCAGAGTTCCGCTCCCTATTTTACCCTATAACAACAACCATGCGAGGTAGGTCAGGCCGAAGGCGAGTGACGCCCAAGGTCACCCAACCAGCTTCATAGCTGAGTGGGGATTCGAACCCTGGTCTCCCGGGTCTGGGTCCAACACTCTAACCCCTACACCACACTGCCTCTCTCTGGATGATGGACCGATAGCACGCCCCTACCCCACGGCTCCCACTTACCTGCCGCAGGTTGTTGAAGGTGTCCAGGCCTTGCCTCCCCTGGTGGAAAAGAGCAATCAGGCGCCGAGCGGCCAGAAGATTCCCCTGAACCACAGCGATGTGGAGAGGCCTGGAACGGGACAGAGAAATGAGCTGCGAATTCATTAGACCAGAGATGCCCCCCTCTCCCGGTCTGCAAAGCTTTGCTAACCTGGCGCCTTCCAGACTACAACTCCCATCAGCCACCTGGAGGCACCACTTTGGCTGAGGTTGAGGGACATTGACACATGAGAAAAGTTGATCAGGGACTGAAGGTGGGGTGGATTGGAACAGCAGCTTCCAAGCTGTGGAGCTCCCGGCACCCAGAAGCACCTTCACTATACAAGAAACCCTATACCTGGGCTTTTGACACTTGGAAGGGACCCCAAGGGTCATCCAGTCCAACCCGCGAGTTGCAGAAATCTTAGCTAAATCATCCATGGCGTGAAATGTACGTTTTTAGGACGCACCTTATCTCTGTGATTGGGCGCCGTTTTAAGCTGTTTTTAATATTGCCTCTTAATAGCGCAACCAACACATACAGTGGTACCTCGGGTTACATATGCTTCAGGTTACAGACTCGGCTGTTCCAGAAATAGTACCTCGGGTTAAGAACTTTGCTTCAGGATGAGAACAGAAATTGTGCTCCGGTGGCACAGCGGCAGCAGCAGGAGGCCCCATTAGCTAAAGTTGTGCTTCAGGTTAAGAACAGTTTCAGGTTAAGAACGGACCTCTGGAACGAATTAAGTACTTAACCCGAAGTACCACTGTACTTAAAATAACCCTTTTCCCTATGTATTTTTAAAAAGCACTATTGTATACGGTGGTACCTCTGGTTACATACTTAATTCGTTCTAGAGGTCCGTTCTTACCCCGAAACTGTTCTTAACCTGGAGCACCACTTTAGCTAATGGGGTCTCTCGCTGCTGCCGCTGCACAATTTCTGTTCTCATCCGGAAACAAAGTTCTTAACCCAAGGTACTATTTCTGGATTAGTGGAGTCTGTAACCTGAAGCTTCTGTAACCTGAAGCGTATGTAACCCGAGGTACCACTGTATCTATATTTTCCATTTTGTCTTTATATGCAGAAACGGTTCATGCTTTGAAATAAAATGATTTGTCAGCATAACTTTTGTGGAAATTATTTCTATACTTATTTCTAAGACTTCAGTTATCCCCAGGGTAAAAAAAAGGGGGGGGCACATTATCTACCTGGCCCGGGCCTCTGCCTGGCTGTGCAAGGCCCTGGTCTGAACCCTCTATAAAGGGGCATGTGTGGGGTTAAGGGGGTCTCCCTGCTTGCAGCCCCCTCCCTATTTCACTCCCGGCCAAAGCTCTCACTCTCGGTTGTCCAAAGTCTCAACGCCCCCCTGACACCTATCCACAGAGCACCCTGGGCTCCACCTGACTTCGCAGAAGCTGCCTCTCTCCCCGCTTGCGATGAAACGAAACTGCTTTATCGTCTGGGGCCAAGCCCACAGGCAGCGGGAAGGACTCCCAGGGCACCGGCTTCCAGTAAGCCGAGCCCTGACCTCCGCTTCCTGTCTCGCTAACGGAGCCTCAAGGGCTCACCGCAGGAGCCAGCCCCCCCAGCAGAGAGGAAGGAGGAGAACAGCAACCCCTGGTTCAGGGCTCTGCAGCTCAGAAGGATGTGGGGCGGCTTAAGGAGGAGAGAGGGGCGGGGGTCACTTCTCCCCTTCGCCATATTCCAGGAAAAGGGACAGGGCTGCCAACAATTACAGAGCAGGGGAAACGTCAGCAGACGGGGAGGAAGTCAGGGTGTGTGTAAGAGGGAGGGGTGTAGCTTGGGTAGGGGATTCCCCTTTGGCAGCTGCGCTTGGCTCCGGTTAAACAAAGCTGCTCAGTGAGAGGAGGAGAAAAAGGCGGAGAGGCCTTCCTCTCCAAATGTCCAAACCCAAACCAGAAGGAAAGAGCGTTACCTGTACAACTTAGGCTAAGTCCGTGATCCTTCCAACCACCCAGGGTGGAAAGAAGGCAGGCTCCAGCTGTTTGGCCCTAGAGGTGGGGTAAACTGCTTTTGGATATGGAGGCTCAACCTAGCTACTGTGGTGGCGGACAGCCGCCGACAGGCTGCACCCACCAGGAATGTGTCTAATCAGGGCTCTCCCCTCCACCCCCCAATTTGCCTAAGCAAACGGCTGCCCTGACATGATGCGGCAATACAATTCCGCACATCAGGGGCTGGTGGGAGTTGTGGCTCAAAACATCTGGAGGGTTAGGGAAGGCTGGTGTGGGCTGATTATGCAAAGGATGGATTTCTTCATCCTGGGAGACCCAGGTTCAAATCCACAGCAGAAACATTCCAGAAGGCTCAGCACTTGGATACCTTCCAAGTCAAATTACCTTCCCTTTCCCTCCCCTGAAAAAAAGTAAGTTTTTAAATGTGTTTGCTGCAGTTATGCTCCTTTTTATAGAAAGGTCTGTACAGAATAACCAATGGCTGCTTATTTCCTTTTTTAAACAAAGGGGCTGTGTGTTGTTGGCTTAGCTAGCACACAGGCCCATTTCACAGATCACGCCAACAGTCACTGAGGCTAGAACTACGTGTTCTGCAAACGCATTGGTCATGGCATTAGCAGGGGAAACTGCTTAGTTCCTCTTCCCACAACCAGAATCTGCAAATGGCAGGTCACCAGTGCAGAGATAGAGATACCACAAAGCAACCATTTGCATGTGGGGTGAAATATGGGGTGTTGGGCTCCTCAAATGATGCCTCAAATTCTTCAGCCCCACCGTGGAAACTGAATCTAGAGGCAAGATTCAACTTCCACCCATGACTCAGACTTCAGTACTGGGATGGGAAAATCAGAAACAAGGAAGTCCTCTGAGCATGTGCAAGCTGCCGTTTAATTATAAATTCCCAGGTATTGCACACATGCCTTCTCAGAATCGACCCTCAAAACTGAAGCTCCCCCCCATTGCCTGCCAGGCCCCAATCCTTCCCGGCTTCTCCTGCACTTCCAGCTCTCCCCCCTTGAGCACCCAGCTTCTCCCTCTCCTTACGTGTCTCCGTCCTCATCTTGCTTGGTCGCTGTGGCAACGTCTAGGGCCAACTGGGCCTCCACGGGGCAGAGGAAAGAGTAAGGGGTGGGGACCCTCAGCACTGGGTTGGGGGTCATGGGATGCAAAAGCGGCGACATCTCGGGGCTGAGGAAGGGGCCGGCCAAACCTGAAACGGGGAGGTGGGGAAAAAGAGAAAGAAGGGGTTGGAATGAGACGCAAAGCCGACCCTAAAAAAACCCAGGCATCCGGGACTTCTAGTCCCCTCATTGATAAGTTCACTGGAAGGCCAGTCTCTTCAGGAGCAAGGAGTGCTGTTTTGAGCCTCAGTAGTGGTGGCAGAGAGAATGGGCGCAAACGGAAAGAGTGACAACAAAGCCCCAAGTTTGCATTTTATTTCCTCCAAAGGCAGCACATTTTAAAGGGTGCTTTGTTATCGCTGTTTGTATACGCAGATGCATTTCAGACCTCACAACAACCGAAGACAGGGGTGATCCTGTTGAATTGTTTTAAAAATAGAGAGAGAGGAGGAAACTGCCTCCCTCCAAAAAAACCCCTTGGTTCTTCTGCTAAGAAGCTCAGATTTCCTCATTCTGGTCAAACTGGGTGGAACGGCAGCAGAAAACGGCAATTAAAGGGTCCAGTCTGCACCATACAGTTAAAGCACTATTTATACCACTTTGTACTGCTTCCCCCCAAAAAATTATGGGAGCTGTAGTTTGTTAACGGTGCTGAAGAGTGCTTTAAATGTATTGTGCGGATGTGGACTGCATCCAATGAGATGTGCTTGGTTTCGGTCGCATTTGCGCTGCATCTCAGGACGGTCTTTGCTTATTTGCCGCCTGAGGTGAAATGAAGAGTTTCCACACCTAGTGGGCAGCAAGGAAGGGAGTGGTTTCAAAGGGAGAAGGTGAGCTTCATGGATGCTCCATAGACGGAGACCCTCTGGGGCACCTCACGGTTTGGACCACCGTAGCACCACAGGCAGAAGTAAAGCCTGAGCATCTAGCGCTGCCACAGGTGTGCTTCTCCCGACGCCACAATTCTGACCAAACTTGCCGTGAAGTCCAGATTCCCCACTTGAGGAGAGGGCTACAATTTACCTTGCGCCTGTCCTGGCCTCACACCTGACGAAGACTTCTGTTGTGCTCAGAAGCTTTGTCGTCTCCAAGCCACTAGCTGGTCTAATGGCAAACAACTCATAAAAAATACTTCAGGCGTTTCTACAGCACATGCATTCTGCAGAGCCCTCCAGCTCGACAACGCCTGCAACAACCCGGTAAGGTAGGCTCTTTTGACAAGAGATCTTTCCCAGTCTGCACCTGTACTGCATCAAGATGTTTTAATGATTTTATATCTGCTGCCCTGGGCTCCTTTGGGAGGAAGGGCAGAAATAAAATTAATAGGAATAGAATCATAGAATTTTAGAGCTGGAAGAAACCCTGAAGACCATGTAGTCCCAAACTTGGGTCTCTAGCTGTTTTTTGGACTACAACTCCCATCATCCATAGCTAGCAGGAACAGTGGCCAGGGATGGTGGGAACTGTAGTCCAAAAACAGCTGGAGACCCAAGTTTGGGAAACCCTGACCAGTCCAACCCCCTGCAATGCAGGAATATACAGCTGTTCCATACAGTGATTGAACCTGCAAACTTGGTGCTATAGGACCAAATAATAATAATAATAATAATAAATAAAAATATTCTTCACTGCAGGCCAGGAGCCAGCTTGCTACAGCCACCTAGGCATTTTCAGGGCTGAGGTGCGATGCACACAAGGGGACTTCCCAATTCAGAGATTATGTTCTCGGGACCAAGGCAGGCACCAACATCTCCATTTCACCAGTTTCGCAGACCTCCCATCCGTCTGGCTGCCACACCTGCCTGACAGATTCATTTCCTCCTTGCTGCAGGCCTTCCTCTTCTTGACCCCTACAGCTGGGAAACAAAAAACTTTTGGGCGAGTCCAAAGCCCTTCCTTCGCCTCAATTACCAAGTGGGGCCCTTGGATCACAAAAGGGACGATGCAAACTAGGAGTGGGTCACCTGTGGCCCTCAAATGTTGTGGGGCTCCATCTCCCCCCGGCCAACACAACCCAGAGATGATGGGGTGTGTGGTCCATCGAGATCTAGAGCACCGCAGGTGAGCCACTCTCGGAAAGGCAAGCGGATGGGTGCCAAGTGATGGTGAAGGAAGTTGGCTGCAAAAAAACCCTAAGGATGGAGAGGTAGAAAAATCAGCTGCTGGCGGAAGGAGATTGAGCGGGGATAGAGCATTCCAGAGAGGGGGCCTTCTCTTTACCTGAGTAATAGGCAGCTGGGAATCTTGGGTAGCTGACGGAGATATACGGAGAGTGGTAACCATTGAAGGGGGAGCCCCACAGCTCGCTGCTCTCCGTCTTGGGGACTTTGCCAGCCAGCGGCCCCTGGGCGTCCCCATCTGCCCCCGGCACGACATACGGGCGTTTCCGCAACGGCAAGCACGTCTTGGCCTTCTTCTCTCCTTCCAGGCCCGCCTGGGGGGAAGCCGTGCTCCGCATTCCTGGAAGGATGGGGCCGGGCTGGCAGACGGCACTCGGGGCTTCCTCGGGCTCCCGGGAAGTAGGCAACTGCCTCCCGGAGGCGTCCAAAGAAACCTCTCTATCGGGGGCGACGCATCTGCCTTGGCTGCCCCCTTTCCGCCAGGTGCTCAAGTCCACAGGTAGCTCCCCGGCCATGTTTGCCAAATCCTCCTTGCCGTCGCCGGGCAGGGACTCCCGGGCAGGGTTCGCTTTCGGCTCCAGAGCTGGGTCAAGCGCTGGTGGAGCGGGAGGCGTCCACCTGGTCAGCTTTCCCGGGTGCTGCTGAGTGGGCAGTCGGAAAGTCACCATCACCTGCTCATGTTCGCAAACCAAAAGCCCCCAGGGAACCCGCTCACCCAAGGCAGCTTGGGGGAGGCTCTCAGTTTCCGACGGCGGCCGCTTTCCAAGCGCCCTCCGACGGGCGCTGCAAATCCCTTTCCATAGGCTCGGAAGAATGGATGGCCCGGTTACCTCCACCGACGCGCCATGTGATCACACCTGAGCGCTTTGCTCACAGGGTGTGGGCAGTGGGTGAGGTGTCAAGCTCAGGAAGCCGGCAGGCAGTCCTTTCCGAGAGCAGCCGGGAGAGAGCCGAGGGGGGGTGGGGGGTGCAGGAAGGTCACAACCCCACCCGCACCCTCCTCGTCCGCTTTCTGGATTCCGGGGAAAGGAGTCACCAGCCAAGCCGCGCCCGGTCTCCGCGCTCCGTCTCTTGCCAATTCTCTTCTCTTGTTTTTCTTTTTCCTGGCTGGAAGTGCTGCCCCGCCGCCCAAACTCGACGGTCTGGGTGGCGATGGCAGTGCCCTCAGTGCCCCGCGGGCGCCCACGAGTGAATCCCGAGGAGCGGCGGTGACACTCGCTGCTTCGCCCACCCTCGGCGGTAGAGGAAGCCGGGACTTCCCCGTCGGCTCAGCTGAATACTAGGGACTTTCACAGACGCCTCTTACCGGCCTCCCCTCCCCGGGGGAGTTCCGCCTACAGCTCCTCCTCCTCTTGGCCGACTGCCCGCTCTCGAAACTCCTTTCCCCGGCAGGCGCACAACGGCCAGGGGAGCCCTGCGCGCCATGCGCCCAGGGCGCATTGCCAAAGAGGCCAGGTGCGCCCAGGGCGCATTGCCAGCTCCCCAGGCGGAGAGGCGAGCGGGATCGGGGGGCGAGGAGGCGCTCCGCTCCGCTTTTGCGGCCCTTTTCCCGGACTTCTCCCCTCCCAGCCGGGAACGCCCCAGAGGGGAAGGGCAAGGAGTGCGACCGCCCCTCGCCAGGGCTAGAAGGCGACGGGGCGCTTAACTCTTTCCTCGGGAAGAGGCCGGGGAAGGAGAGAAAGACGCCCAGCGATGAATGAGGCTGCGCGGCTCAGTGGTTTTTACTTAAGGATAGGTTCGGTTCTGGAATTACTGGTCTTGCAGTCATAAGAACCCTGATGGACCATCAGGCCAGTTCCCCATCTGGTCCAGCATCCTGTATGGCCAATCAGATGCCCGTGATATGCCCGCAAGCGGGACCCGGGCACAAGAGCCTTCTCGCTCCTGCGCTCTCCAGCAACGGGTATTCAGAAGGGTTCCTGCTTCCGGCCATGCAGGCAGGGCATCGCCTCCGTGGCTCGTAGCCGTTGTTTGCGTCTCCCCACCGCCGTGCAGTCACACATTTTAATGTTTGTGTCTTTAGACTTTTGTAAATCGCTTATTAGCCCATCTTGGCATTAAGCGTTACATAGGAGCCAACTATGTACATATAGTTACATATATATATGTACATATAGTTACATATATATGTACATATATATGTACATATATGTACATATATGTACATATGTACAACTATGTACATATAGTTACATATATATGTAACTATGTTACATAGGAGCCAACTATAGGGATGCGGGTGGCGCTGTGGGTTAAACCACAGAGCCTAGGTCTTGCTGATCAGAAGGTCAGTGGTTTGAATCCCCACAATGGGGTGAGCTCCCATTGCTCGGTCCCTGCTCCTGCCAACCTAGCAGTTTGAAAGCACGTCAAAGTGCAAGTAGATAAATAGGTACCACTCCGGTGGGAAGGTAAACAGCATTTCTGTGCGCTGCTCTGGTTCGCCACTTAGTCATGCTGGCCACATGACCCGGAAGCTGTACGCCAGCTCCCTCGGCCAGTAAAGCGAGATGAGCGCCGCAACCCCAGAGTCGGCCACGACTGGACCTAACGGTCAGGGGTCCCTTTACCTTTACCTTTTTAGGAGCCAACTCCTTGGGCCTAGGGGATCTTCGGCTTCCCTAACAACAACAACAACAACAATAATAATTTATTATTTATACCCCGCCCACCTGGCTGAGTTTCCCCAGCCACTCTGGGCTGCTCCCAATCGAGTGTTAAAAGCAATACAGCAATAAAATATCCCCCCTCCCCCCGTTGATGGCTATTGCCATTCAAATAGCGTCCGTGCACCCCGTCATGTGTTCTATTATGCAGGGCGGGGCTTACTTGTGCCTCCACAATATGTTATTGGGCGAAGGGGGTATAACTGTGCATAACTAACTCAGGTTCTGCCCCCCCCCAACAAAATCTGTCAGATTAACAGCGTTCTCCCCAGCATATAGTGATAATGGGGCAAGCTGCACCTGTTAAAATTCTGCCTGCCTGTAAGTTGTACCTCGATTAAAATAATAATATCCCCCCCCCCCCACAAAGCATAAAAACCACTTAACACGAGCATTGGCTTTTTAACTTCGGTGGCATAACGTTGCTCTCTTGATAACTCCGATGCGAGTTTTGCACCATCTTTATCACTGTTCGTGGACTGGATTTCTGCCTGGCATGGAGAAATCTACCAGATCGAGCGTCTTTCTCCACGCGAGGAAAAGCTGCGCCTGCCAGATCTCTGCGCTGCAGGCTGCTGTTAGACGCACAGGAGCAGGAGCAAGGAGAAAAGGTGGCAGCCTGCAGCCCTGCTGCTCCTCTTCCTTTAAAATCGGCCTGCCACGCGGAGATCTCGCAGGCGCGCCGCTTCCTTTGGCGTGGGGCGGGAGAGAGAGAGAGAGAAAAGACGCTTCGCCAGGGGAAAAATTGGGTGGCGACCTGGCCTTTTCCTGCAGGCTGAAGCAGGAGAGGCACCGCGTCGCGTGGGTTGGCAGGAAGAAGCAAGAAGTTAGCTGGAAAGGAGGATGCGGGGCGATCGGGTTGTTCTCCCAGAGGACGCAGAGGGCGCAGCGGCGCTCCGGAGCTGCACGGAACGGCTGCGCAAATGACGAGTCATTCGCGGTTGGGGAAGGGAGGGGAAAACTGAACGGGATTCCCCCAGAATTGGTCCAAAGGGCAGGCGAGGTCGCTGGCGGCTAGGGAACGGAGCCCCCTGCTGGCCGAGGGAGGAGAGGCAGCCACCGTGGAGGCGAAGGGGTTAACCGCCACCTTCAGCGCCAAGTGCTCTCTGCGTGAACATCTAAAGTTCTGCCAAGGAGGTGAACTGGAGGAGGAAGGGCAAGCAAGGGCTCTCCCCGTCACGTGGGTGGGGACCGTGCTTCTTACCGTACATGAAGCACCCTTTGCCCACGCCAATGAGGAAGGGAGGCCTGCTCTGATAAGCTTTCTTTTTTTCTTTTTTTTTAGGGTGAGGAAATCAGATTGCCTCGCCCTCACCCGCCTGTGTTTCCCTGTGAATTGCTTTTCCAAGCATGGCGCTGGCTTGGAAGCAGAGCACAGCGACTCACACCAGTCTGCAGCTGATTGGGAGGAAACAAGGCCAGAACAGTGAATCGTGCAGAGACACAGCTGGCAGACTCCTCGCTGAATTGGTGCTAGTGGACTGACAGGAGCAGTGACAAGGCCGCTTCTTCTTCTTCTTCTTCTTCTTCTTCTTCTTCTTCTTCCTCTTCCTCTTCCTCTTCTTCTTCTGATATCTGTGTGCCCGGAACCTGGGACATTCTGCATTCAGTGCAGGTGTCCTACTGCTCAGTCACTGGGGATACAGTACATGTTCTCAGCTCATGAGACATGACTGGATGGGTGACAGCCATCCCGAGATTACATGCTTACAGTCTCTGGTGCCACAAGTTAAAAGGATCAGAGGACTAGACTGGGAAAGATCCCCTCGCTGCCCACAACCATGTATTATGATAATCATTATTTCAGTTTATTATTTTCCCTTCACCCCAGGACCCGTGGATGGCTTGCAACTCTTTTGTGGTGGTTATTTTTTGGGGAAAAAATAGCAGGTGTCTGTAGATCAGGTCTGTAGCAGATGAGGCTGCATTTTAAATTGCATTTTAACCTGTATTTGAAATTGGTTCCCTCTTCTCTTTTTTCCCTATTATGTTTTAACTTTGATTTTATTGGTGCTAGCCACCCTGAGCCCGACTCTGGCTGGGGAGGGCAGGGTATAAATAAAATTTATTATTATTATTATTATTATTATTATTATTATTATGGCAAAAGGCTAAAGTCCCTCCCACACCTGTGCTGTTGCCCCAGTTCAGTTCACTCTCCATCACACGCCCAGCATTTGTTTTCAAGCCACCCAGCCATGCAAGAATTAAAGAGGTCGTGAAAAGCGTTAGAAATAGTTTGATCCTCGGGTTTTGGAAAAGCATAAAAAGAGTTTGCTGTATCAAGATGATGACCCATCTAGTCCAGCATTCTGTTCTCACAGTGGCCAAGCAGATGTTTCTGGGAAAGCCAAGCCCAAGCGCTTCTCCCCTCTTGTGGTTTCCGTCAGCTGCAGTTCAGAAGCTTTTCTGCCTCCATAGCCAGCCTGGCTAGTAGCCATTGATAGCCCTCCTTGAATTTGTACAACCTTCTTTTAAAGCAATCTAGGTTATTGGTCATCACTATAGCCAATCCAGAATATGGCAGCCAGACTGGCAACTGGGAGCGGCCGCCGAGACCACACAACACCGGTCCTGAAAGACCTACATTGGCTCCCAGTGCATTTACGAGCACAATTCAAAGTGTTGGTGCTGACCGTTAAAGCCCTAAGTGGCCTCAGCCCAGTATATCTGAAGGAGCATCTCCACCCCCATCGTTCTGCCCGGACACTGAGATCCAGTGCTGAGGGCCTTCTGGCGGTTCCCTCACTGCGAGAAATGAGGTTACAGGGAACCAGGCAGAGGGTGGCGGCTGCCCTGTGGAACGCCCTCCCATCAGATGTCAAGGAAGTAAACAACTACCTGACTTTTAGAAGACATCTGAAGGCAGCCCTGTTTAGGGAAGTTTTTAATGTTTGATGTTTTATCACTTATTATTATTACAGTGGTACCTCGGGTGACAGATGCTTCAGGTTACAGACACTTCAGGTTACAGACTCCGCTAACCCAGAAATAGTACCTCGGGTTAAGAACTTCGCTTCAGGATGAGAACAGAAATTGCGCGGCGGCAGCGGGAGGCCCCATTAGCTGAAGTGGTACCTCAGGTTAAGAACAGTTTCAGGTTAAGAATGGACCTCCAGAACGAATTAAGTTCTTAACCCAAGGTAAAAAGGTAAAGGGACCTCTGACCATTAGGTCCAGTTGTGGCCAACTCTGGGGTTGTGCCACTCATCTCGCTTTACTGGCCGATGGAGCCTGTGTACAGCTTCCATGTCATGTGGCCAGCATGACTAAGCCGCTTCTGGCGAACCAGAGCAGCGCACGGAAACGCTGTTTACCTTCCTGCCGGAGTGGTACCCATTTATCTATTTGCACTTTGACGTGCTTTCGAACTGCTAGGTTGACAGGAGCAGGGACCGAGCAACGGGAGCTCACCCCCTCGCGGGGATTCGAACCGCCGACCTTCTGATCGGCAAGTCCTCGGCTCTGTGGTTTAACCCACAGCGCCACCTGTGTCCATTATTATTATTCTTTTGGGAGCCACCCAGAGTGGCTGGGGAAACCCAGTCAGATGGGCAGGCAATGAATAAATAAATATAATTCCGCAGCTTAACCATGTGCTCCTTGAAGATGAACTTTCTTTAATTTGTCCTGAAGATTCCAGCCTTCCAGAAACAAACCCAGGGGGTCTGTAATGCCGAGAAGGAAGGGGTGTGCGTTTATCTTTAATCTACCTTTGCATGACATTTCCCCCCTCTTCCTCCTCCTCCTCCTCCTCTTCCTGGCGTTCCCTCTTCCACACAGCTATGAACTGTCTGGGCGCCTTGGGAGTTCAGCTAGGCATTCCCACGACTTGGACCCATGCAAATACTAAAATAGTGAACAGTGCGAGGGTGAGTGAAGTCACACATGAAAGGGGAGGAGCTTAGAGGGCTCATTGCATTGAGCAAAACTGGCAAAGTGGAGAGTTTTTCCTTCTGCCACTAGCCCAAATAAAGGAGGAGGGGTGCAGTTCCTGCAATTGTTCCCCCGCCTCGGGACTGCCCTAAACCCAGAGGCAGGTTTCCCAGAAGCCAGACTTTTGGAAAGTCCCGTTCCACAATTTCAAGGCCATGCCAGGAAGCAACGTGTTGGAGGAGAGCCTCCCTTAAGAAGTATTAAAGCGGTGTTTGGGAAGGAATTGGTTCCAGTTCAGCTGCTCCAAAGGGAATTAGTTGCAGATACAGCTCTCTCTCTCAAAAAAAGACAGGAGATAATTTCTTTCTGGTTCAATTACTTAATTAATTCTTGTTAAGCCTTTAGAATTTTACAGACACAGCAATTATTTTTTTAAAACAGATTATATAGATAGATAGATAGATAGATAGATAGATAGGTCGTTTTATAATTATTTGTTTTTCTATGTTTTCAGTGATACTTGTTTTTATCTGTAAGCTGCCTTGAGAAGAATCAGGGGGGAAATTGTGGGGTGTAAACAAATTTATTAGTATTATTATCAGTACACTGGTAC